TTTGAACAGCCGAACTGCAGAACTGCAGTCAGCTGAAGTAGCCTGCAGTGCTGCATTGAACCACTGCACCACCTCGGCTCTTCCCAGTTTTCCACTCAGATGCCATTCTGCGGCCAGGGGTCATGTTCGGTCATTTTTGGGAGGTCCCCCACAAAGCTGTGTCCCCTCTCCCAAAATGGTTTCAGAAGCTGTAATTTTGCAGATGTTGGATTTCTCCACAATGCTGCTGTTGAGTGAGCTACTTCACTACAGAGATAATTGCATTCAGGTCTGAACTCCAAAAGTAGAAGAAAGTATATAGGTAGTCCTCAACTTACAACTATTCATTTAGTGCTGTTCAAAGTTACAAAGGCACTGAACAAACTGACATGACCATTTTTCACCAGACCATTGCAGCATCCCCATGGTCCCCCCCATGGTCGGGTGATCAAAATTCAGATGCTTCACAACTGACTCATATTTATGACTGTTGCAGTGTCCCAGTGTTACGTAATCCCCTTTGCGACTTTCCAACAAGCAAAGTTAACGGGGAAGCCAATTTCACTTAATAACCATGTTACTAACTTATCAACTGCAGTGATTCACTTAACAACTGTGGCAAGAAAAACTGCTGTAAAATGGGGCAAACTTACTTAACAACTATCTTGCTTAGTAACAGACAATTTGGGGCTCAATTTCGGTTGTAAGTCAAGGACTACCTGTACAATTATTTGATGCCAGGATGGTCATCCTTCCTCCATATCATGTCCTAAACTCCTTCTCCTTCTTTCTTCTCCTTTGTAGTACGTTTAAGATCCCAATTAGCTACATTTCCTCACCTTTCTTTCTGCCAGCCCTTTTGTAAATATTTAAAAATAATTTTTAAAAAGACAATCTGGTTCTCGACTCTGCAACACAGGCAGAAAAAAATGTGAAATTGTCACTACAGATTCTTTTGAAAAAAAAAGAAATGTGGAAAATGGCAGCATATGTTTTGGCTTATTTAAAGAGAATTAATTTTCATCCTAAGGGTAAAATTAATCATAATATTTTTTTAATCTCAGTTCTCCAAATGTCTTCCTTCCCACCTCTTGTGGGCATTAAAGGAAAAAGGGGAGGTGATTAAAGGGGGTCCCCTGCATAATTTTCTTTCTTGTTCCTCTCCCGTCTTGATTTATCTGGATGCATCTTTATAAATTAAAGACACCTTCATCAAAAAAATTCCCATGCTGGTTGCAAATTACGTTGACTAAGAACAAGCATAAATCAATCGGTAACTTCAAGGTAAGCGTTTCTCTATGAATTTAAGAAAAGCACAACAAAAAAGCCCAGTACTACAATTAAAGAGCCGAGGTGGCGCAGTGGTTAAATGCAGCACTGCAGGCTACTTCAGCTGACTGCAGTTCTGCAGTCGGCTGTTCAAATCTCACCGGCTCAAGGTTGACTCAGCCTTCCAACCTTCCGAGGTGGATAAAATGAGGACCCGGATTGTTGTTGGGGGCAATATGCTGACTCTGTAAACNGGGCTGGACCTCAATCAAGAGGTCAACAGCCCCAGGCCTGCCGGAAAAGCCAGGTTTTAATAGCTTTACGGAAGGCCAAGAGAGTGGGTAGGGCCTGGATCTCTGGGGGCAGCTCATTCCATAGGGCCGGAGCGGCAACAGAGAAGGCCCTACTCTGAGGCGTCACCAGCCCGCATTGTCCTGCTGACAATGTGTATATCCATTTACCAACTCAGATGGTTTGGAGACTTTAATAATTGTGTCACAAACAAAGGGGGGGGGAGGATGAACCACCTTACATCAGATTCATTTCTGTTTAAAGTTAATGCTCTATCTCTAGAATCTTAACCCTTTCAAAAAGGGTTAAATAACAACTCCAAACTCCACTCCAGAGTCCATTATATGGCAAAAACTAAATGCTCATTTAACTTTAGCAAAATTTTGAAGGAGTGAAGCAGCATCCTAGGGAAATCAGCCCTTTTGTCCAAACAATTAGTTCTCTTCTCAAAATACATCTTCAAGGAAGCAAAACAATCTAGGGATGGGAAATATATGCTTAATTAGTACACGAATGCTAGCTGAGTTGAATAAGATTGGCTATTGCCAACTATTTTGGCAAGAGACTCACCGACAGTACTGACAAAAGATTCTGTTGTGGTTTGAAATCCTTCGGAATCTTCTTCCTTCTGAACAATCGAAGTTGAACTTTCTGAAACTGAATCAAAATGGAGACGGCTTAATATCCTTTTTTCTGTCTCATTTGTGTTCATCTTCATCTTTTCCCCAAATTGCTCAAAACAGTGCAACTTCCCATTTTATTCTTACCACACCCTTGAGCAATGTTTCTCAAACCTTGTCAACTTTAAGACACATAGTCTTCAACTCCAGTCCACAAGTCTTAAAGTTGCCAAGGTTGGACCACTCCTGCTGTAGTTCAAAGCCAAGTAGTGGAAACTACAAACAGAAAATCAGTGTGTATAAACAAAGCTGGAGGTCAACGTGAGTAGCAGGTCTCAAATTTGGACCACATCTGGAAAGGAAAGAGTGACAAGTAAGATTGAAGGTATAGAGTTTAGTGCAGGAGTAGTCAACCTTTTTATACCTAGTGAGAGAGCCGAGGTGGCGCAGTGGTTAAATGCAGCACTGCGGGCTACTTCAGCTGACTGCAGTTCTGCAGTTNAGAGAGAGAGAGAGAGGATAGGAGATGCTTTGTTTGGACTACAGGTCCCATTAGCCAGCTTTACAGGGTGGGGGCTTGTGGGGATTACCTCTCTTGCAACATATTGCCCCTCTGGTTGTTGGGTCCTCCCCACCTAAAAGTCAAGCCCCTTTTGCTGTGCTTTTGTGTTTTGCTTGCCCACCATGTTATATATAATCTTGCCAAGCAACCCTTTATTTTATTGTGCAAATATTGAATGTGTTATTTTTTCCCCACTTTCCTTTTAAGAAAAGAATTCCAGATCAGGACATGCCCTGTTTGTGCTTATGGCCCTATTATCAACAAGGTTATTTTGTTTAGCATATACTCCAGTGAGGGAGAGTACTCCCTTGCATTGTTTCTTTCTACTTTTAAATATTTTAGCCAGGTGGCCAAATAGCAACTCAGATTGGAAGTCCGCATTCTGATGAGCAAGGAATAAAGTCAGCAAGCTGGCATCACATTAAATGGCCAGGAGAGAGTGTTGCAATTTGAAAAAAAACTACCTCGGGAGAGTACAGTGGAAGGGATGGGTCAAGCTCTCTGCAAAAGGTTCCTAAAATGCATCCAAGCAGCACTCAAGTGTGCAAAATCACTGCCTGTTGCATTTGAGCTATCATCTGGGCTGCAAAGGACCAGCGGTCTGCAAAGCCGACCAGGAGAGAAGACTCACTTAGTGACTGTTCAAAGTTAAACACTGAAAAAAAGGACGTGGCCATTTTTTACACTTATGTGATTTACATTTGGGTGCACGACAACTGCTTCATATTTATGACGGTTGCAGTTTCCCAGTGCAAAGTCCCTTTGCATTGACTTGCAAAGTCAATGGGGAAGCCAGATTCACTGAACAACTGGGTTACTAATCTGTTCTGACCCCCCTCCTCCATCCAGTAACGAATGCCAAGACAAGCTTAGCTGGAAGGCCACAACACTTTATTAGCAAGACTATAAATCTTGGTGGCTGAAAGCCCAAACACGAACGAACAGATAAAGAACCTTGGCAGCAACNAACCAGTTCTCCCGAATAGGTGTGAACCGGCTGAATCCCACCACTGCCCATAGGGCACAGCTATCAGCAAATAATCAAAAATGCTTCTACAGCAGCAAGTCTAGAATGAATCAACAATTGGATAATATCTTTACTAAGACTACCTGCATGTCACAAGACCTTCCAAGCTCTTAATAAGATTGCTGGGTAGAAAAAAAAAAACAGGAATGGAAAACATGATGTTTTTAAATCCATCATTTTAAAACAAAACGGCACACACAGAAATGCCTCCAATGCCTCCAACTTCCTGATGTATCTGTGACTAGCAAAACATGTCTATTTATAGCTATCAGTACAATATCCACTGGCGGCACAGTAATGGATTATGAGGCCAAATGCTTTCCTCGCGTAGAAAGGATGATTTAATAGGAACTCTCATCCATTTCCCTGCACAAGGCACTTCACACATCTTGTTGTGCCACTGCGCCCTCTGCTGGTCGTTCAACCTGCAAGTAAATGTAAATAAAAGAATGGCACAATTGATCATGGCAACATTTTCGCATCTACTTCAACCCCATCCCAATTGCAGCCTATCTAGCTTGGGTATTCATTCTCAGATGGCCCTCTGCCAGGGCTCCACCCATGCCACTGGTCCCATCAACCCCAGGCCATATGATCATGCCGATTCAACCAGGGAGACTTAATCCTGGCTGAGTCACACTGCGGGACAACTGAATGCCAGCCAGTACCCTCGCTGAGGGATGGGCCTCTTACCTTAATGGCTTGCAGCAGCCTCGGGTACTGGGAAGGTGTGGGACAGAGCAATGGGGTCTGAAAAGATCTGTGGGAAAAGGGCTACCACTGCCCTACACTTTACATGAACCACGAGATACCTCCCAACTCAGCGCAGGAAAACTTGAAGATAATTTGCGGAAGCATCCAGTCAATGATCCTACATTGAGAGTGCCAATGCACAGTGCTATTGGCTTGTTTGGAGCAAGTTCTTTAATGGTCCTGCTCCAGAACCGGTAGCCCTTGTTCATTTTCTCATGTTGGTTGGGTGGGACCAATGCAGAGGTGGGTTCCTACCGGTTCGCACTGGTTCGATAGAACCGGTTCNGCCACTCCCACAAAGCTTGCCACACCTACAGAAGAGGTTCTAAAAAAATTTGAAACCCACCACTGGGGGACATACATATCATGTCAAAAAAAATAGCTAGCCTCTTACCTTGGCCAACCACAGGATCTGTGAAACATGGGAAGGCGAGTAGGACAAAAAAAATGAACTGGAGAAAAAAACAGAATTATGAATCAACTGTGATGTACTTTCTAACTCTGTCCCATGATTCCACCCCTGAAACACAACATAATCAACCCAGATAGATTTATCATCAAAACCAACATGGAACATGTTAAAGTTATAAACCAAATGCAGATTCCACCTATACCACAGAATAGGGAATTACCTTAGTACAGGATTCACTAGAGATAATTTATGGGACTCATACATTTTAGTTTGTCCAAATTCAGAATAGCAGATGCTGAGATGCAGAATGTTAATTGGTTTTAGAGTGGTGGAAAAGCACTGTCTTGTTCCACATTTGCAGATATTTCTGTGTTTAAAGCAAGTTACAGCTTTTTTTTTTCATTATGAAAGTTTCCTAGATTTTCAGAATGGGCCCATATTCCATTAGCGTACCGGTCATTTTTAAAATTAGCTTTTATTAAACAATGTGCAATCCAACCTATTTTCTCTGTTCACATTTGCTAATTTCAATATGAAGAACTGAAATCAAAAATTGGATTGTGTATCATTTCTGTAAATGAACCAACAGAATCGAAGTCTCAACTTATCTAGTTAAATAGCAGTCTTTTCAAAACTCAAATTCATACTTTAAGCAACAAATTAAAAAAAAACTTTCTGAATGCTCACCAGCGTGGCACTCATCAACGAAAAAAAAAGGAAGAAACCCTTGGTTTCTTAACAAAAACATCTTAATCGAGAAGTTTATCAAAACCCATAAATACATAGACTCGCATGGATGAGAGAAAATATTTTCCCCATCAGAATACAGAGAATTCAAATATTTCCTCCCTCCTTTTTAGCACTGTGTTGCAGTTCGCTAATTCAAAGAGAAAAACTTCCTAATGCCTGATCACATAAATCTGACATTTGGAAAGCAAGTAATAGAATAGGTTTGGGGGCATGTCATTTATACACTTATGCTCACACACACTCACAAAATTCCTACCCTACATGTTCCGTTGTTCTGTCTTAAGTGACCGCTTCACAGCGTTAACGGGCATTTCTGGTTTGTTCCAAAGCTCTGACGAAGTTCATCGTTCCATGTAGATCCAAGCCTCCCGAGCTGGAAAAATACTGTCATATCCACCCGGTGGAACAGATCCTCCTTTCACTGAGACAGCTGAGGATTTTGCAGTTTGTTGGAGGAAAAACTCCTAGAAACGTGCGTGCCAAAATGCTGCTATCTGCAACGGCCGTTTGGAGTTGTCAGCCAGCCAAAGTCCTCATCACCAAAGGCCGTTTGGGTTGACAGAAAACTAGTGTGGCCTCTCACTTCTGCATCATAAGGCCGGGTGGATTTGCTAACCCTCTCCTACGGGATTCCTGCCAATCTACTGTAGCCTACACATCCCTGAAATTAACTATCCCCTTTCCTGGCTTTTTAGCTTTGTAACTGAGAAGGCAAATGACTTTTCCCTGCTCATATTTGCTTCCTCAATTGCATATACACAAAACACGCACACAAACACAAGAGCAACAACAGCAGCACCAGTTCTAAAGTTCTAAGTTCTGCTCTAACTCTGAAGCCTAAAATTTTTGGAACCAGCCGTTACGGCTGAACTATTATGCTCTCTCCACCCATCATTAACTATAACACAAAGTTCTCGTCTCTTGTACCATGAAAAAACTTCCTGTGAGCAAACCAAAAATGGTTAAAAAAAAAAAAAGCATTTCAGGGCTCACCAAAAAAGAAGTGGGGAGAAATGCATCTCTCTGTGTTTTTCCGTCTGCCTTCTGGTTTCCAACCCTGCTTTTCTGCTTGCCGCTGATTTTCCATCTCTTCCCATGCCTTTCTTGGTGGAACATGTGGTTTTCATTCGCTGCCACTACCCCCACCCCACCCCACCTCTTTTACCCAGAGTCAGGTCCTTCGACCCAAAGAGTTAACTTCCAGCCAGGAATTCCCCAGCTAACACATTGTCCCAGAGACAGGAAACTGAGAGACGGGGACTGGTAGTTATTGTTAGAAAGGAAACTGGGAATAGGGGTCACTCACCTTCATGGCGGCTGCTTCACAGCCCTTGGAGTGTGGCATGCCGAGCATCTGGAAGGGAACGAAAGGCCGCACCAATCATTTCCTCTTCTTGCCACTTCCTGGCCCCAGAGAGTGGGTGTGTGAGTCACAAGACACGTGCTCCAACATTTCTAAGTGTGTGGGGTATGTATACACAAAGACCAGCAGCATACATGTACAGTATGTGCCTTTCAGAAGGGACCAGTGCATTGGCCGGAAATACAAGCATTCTCTGTTCAGGACAATTCACAGTAACCCAATCTAAGGCTGCTCATCAGAGAAGAACAACGGCAGCCGCGTTTTGCTTCACTCTTTCTCTGCAAGGCTGAGCGAGAGGCAGAAAAGTGGCGTGGCTCTTCCCCAACATTGATGGCTTACAAATGTTGGGCACTGTGCCGCCGAGAAAGAACATTGAGAAAACTCTTTTCAAGTTGGCAGGGCAAACCGAACCAACTAAACCGATGTTCAGAACAACCAAGTGGGACTTAACAAATTTTAACAGCCTCCCAACTCACATGCAGTGACTTCGGGGCAGGGTATAACATTAAAAACCCACAGTTAAAAAAAATCTACCGTTTAAAACTCCACACACCCCCATGTCAGTGACAAAATAATCAGACAAGTCGCTTGATCCGGTCTGAAGCACACAGAGAAATCTATGACTTCAAGACAGTGTTATAACATCAATTCCAGAGGTGGGATCCTACCAGTTCGCACCTATTCGGTTCGTCAAATCTACCGAACCGGTTAGAAGAGGTTCCACAAGTGGACCCGGAAAGCAGGCCACACCTACAGAAGAGGTTCCAAAATTTTTTGAAACCCACCACTGGTCCTTGGATATGATTATTCTACACTATCANCTAGTCCTTCTTTCTATTAAACTAGACATACCCAGTTCCTGCAACCGTTCTTCATATGTTTTCATATGTTTTAATGATGAAACTCAAATGAAATATATTAGAAGGTGAAATAACATAAAGAGAATTATATCGATTTGAAATTGCTATAAGAAGGAACAGGAAGTCCCAATGTATTGTGTAAGTGTAGTTTATGTCTAAGTTTTGTTTTTGTATATTTTGTATGTTTGAAAATTAAAAATAAAAATAAAAAAGCATGCTCACACTTACAACTGTCACAGCATTCACAGTCACCTGATTGAAATTCAGGGAGTTTGGCAACCAGCATGTATTTAAGATAATTGCAGCTTCCTGTGGTCAACTGAAATCTTTCCAGCTGGCTTCTGAGAAGCAGATTTGCTTAACCACATAATTCATTTATCAGTGGCAATGATTCACTTAAGAACTGCGGTTAAAAAAAAGAGTTTAAAAATCAGACATGGCTCACTGAACAACCACCTTGCTTAGAAATGGAAACATTTGTCGTACGTCAAGGACTGCTATATGGTCCAGGAGAAATTGTTTAGCTGATCATTTCACATACAAATTTCAAGTGAAGTCCTTAGTGTGACCTGTGATCTGTCCCTCCTCCTCCGTCATCCAGAGGCCAGTTTGCTCTAGTAGTTAAGGCACCAGGCTAGAAAGCTGGAGGCCGTGAGTTCAAGTCCTGCCTTAGCCATGAAAGTCAGACTTTGGGGCAAGTCACTCTCTCTCTCAGCCCAACCCACCTCACAGGGGTTATCATTGTTGTGGGGGGAAATAGGAGCAGGAAGGTGTGCTGATATGTTTGCCACCTTGAGTTATTTGTCAAAATAATAAAGGCGAGATACAAGTAAATAAAACTAGCAATAAATCTCCTAATTGTAACTTAAGCTTCACAAAGGAGCCTCAACCTTATCTACCTTTGGAACTTAATTGTAGAATTTTATTTTGCAGTACTGTAGTAAAAAAAAATAGCTTGGAATAATAATTCACTAAATGTAGAAGCATTAAATTTTGAGTGACAAGGATTTATGGATTCCTCAGCCTCCCTTCACTGTATCCAATTCTAATGGTCATTTCACTAAATTCAGCAGCTTTTTAAAATCTGGCAGATGTGTTGTGATGTCATTCCCACTGGTCTTGCTGCAGATGTTATAACATTTGTAGTTCTATACACCTGAAGGGCATCTGCTTGAGGAAAGTTAGTTAATTATTCTGAGCACCTTATTCCCAAAACCTTATATTCCACAATGAGTCAGGGAAGTGAGATAATCCTTATTTAAAAGCTTAAAATCTAAAAGAGCACAATACAAAAAGAAAGAAAAAGGATGGGAGGAAAGAAGGAACAAGAAAGCCCGAGTACTAACTTAAGCTAAATGATTTCCTACTTTAATGATCTATTGGGTACTGTTAGGAATATAATTCTAAGGGTTGGGTTGGCAATATATAAATCATGTAACAATGCTATACATGTTTCTTTAAATCATACT